GTATATAACCCGGAGAGCAAATTATTATGGGGATTATTCAAACAGAAATTTTGGCCCATTTGTGGCCGAAGGCCATGCCGGAAGGGGCACCGACTAGACACCAGGCAACGCCATCTATCTGCAGACTCAACCCAAAGTAAGTGGAACTACTCTTATCGCCATGCTTAATAACTGTGATATTATTAAAGTGTAACTCCTCCAATGGGACATGAGTTAGGAACATTCCAACAAGTGTACAGGGCGTAAGGGTGATCCAATGGAGTGATGCAGAGGTAGACAGGTGTAACATAGAGGCTGCAGAGGGTGTCTACGCAGGGATGTGTAAAGATATATATATGGTGGATGAGTAGAATAGGAGAAAGAGGAGACTAGCGACCCATAACTGGGTGAAAGGAAGGCTAAGATGAGGTCCAAGAATCGTTTAAGAAAAGGGCAATGTGTAATCCGACACCAGTCGGCTCTTTAATCGTGATATTGCTAAAATGTATATAACTGTACATTGATTGTGTTCATACTAATATAGGGTAGCATAGGGTGAGAATGTGGGTTTCTGTTAATGTGATTTCCTCCCTTACCACATTTCGCACCTGCGCCCTCCTGACAAGCCCTGTGAACAGTGTGCCCCTAGCCAATGTAGCAACGATAGAGAAAGTGATTTAGCAGTTTCCTTAGCCCACCCCGTGACTGCAGTACAGAAGGTGGCAACGGGGATTCCTCCACGCCCCCCTGTCGCCACGGCATAATAGTGGTGGCAGCAGCGGTGGGATGCCTCCACGCCCCCTGTCACCACGGTATAACAGGTGGCATAACAGGGTAGGAGTTGAAGGGCCTGGTCGTACTAAGTCATTGTGTAACCCTGGTTCTGCCACCACCATCTGGACTGTAGCCCTGGCCTTTGCCACATTCATTAGAAATGCTTTGTATTTCAATTTACAATCAGGGTTTAGATTTTTGTAAACCAAAAATGAATTGAAAATGGCACAATTTATAAGCCACAAGGCAACTTTCACTTTTATTATCTGTGGCCACAATTTTCTGTTGACCCCTGCCACTTCCACTTTCTGAGTCACTAATCACTACTCCTCCACAAGGCAGGTCAGATAGCTCATCAGAAAACAAGTCAGAGAGATCGCTTGCCTTCAACCCCTTTTGTCCTTGAAACATGTTCCCCTCTACTAACTTCTTGCCTGGTACATAAACAGCTGGAATGGCAAAGTTTATTTTCTTTTGGAGTAGGGACCCTAGGCAGCCAGGTCAAGTTACTGTATACCTAGCATACATTCGGAAGAGTTATTACGCAGTACTCCTGGCGCCAGAGCAAGGTACAGTGTGTTTCAACATAACATGTCCTAAAGTCATAATAATGTGCTACCAGTCCGCCACATTTAAAAGCGCTGGGCATAAAAATATGCCACCAGTCCGCAAAGTGTTAAGAAATTTCAAACAAAAATTAAATTAGAAAGTGAGTGAATCAATCAATGCAAATAAATATTGAGCATTGTACATCAGGTAAATTAAACAAGAAATATCACATTTGCACATGTGTAAATAAGTGAACATTTATACAGTGCGACAGTTTTGGGGTAAACAAAACACCTGATGATGGCCATTTGAGGCCAAAACATGTCATAAGAAGAAGAAATAAGAGTGAAAGTTGTTACATTGAGGACCGAATATATTGTGCGTGAACAGAGGTTACAAAATTAAAACACAATGAACAAAAAGCCATTACATCTAGAATATAGAGTACTTCATGCACAAAATAACTGACACACACAATAATGAGACTTCGATATATACAGTACATTGAAATCCTCATTTAACGTTACTAAATTTAAGGGTTTTCCTTTAAGGTTCATTATCAATAATCCCATGTCAGTGAACTCTTACCCTCCATTCCCGATTTATTTTCCAGCTAGAAAGAAAGCTTAAACAGGAACATAATACTTGCAAACACTGCATCACTAACCTTACAAATTCGAAGCTCAGGTTTGCTTTTGGCAGAAGAAATTCATTGTCCTGTTTGAACCACACTCGGGACAGTGGTGTGTCCTGAATAATAACTGGGTATGTTGGTGCCTGAAAGTGTGTATAAATTTGATGAACAAAGCTGCATCCAAGATAAGAGTTTGATACATACAAGCTATGAACAGAGCATTACAAACTTACCAGTCTATGGTGTAGACAGATTCATAAAGACTGTCAACTATCACAGTTGCATGCATATAGATTATCATCACGTGTAACCCACAACATTTCATATTTAAATTAAATTTTCATTGTGTTAAATATCATGGTTGTTTCAAATCACATGCAATTTTTATCTGATATACTCCACAACTCATGTGCCTGTGGTGCTGCCTGTTTTCTGAAATTTCAGCTTTTGCTTTTCATGTATTTTTTCCTTAGTGGGGTTGGACTAAGTGCACTTGGTACTGCAACCATTTCTGGCCTACTGTACCAGCCTCAGATGATAGATGACGGTGACTGCGGAGAAATTGTTGGAATGAAGACTGGCAAGGGAAACCGAAGTACTCGGAGAAAACCTGCCCCAGCACCACTTTGTCCAGCACAAATCCCACACGACCAGACCCAGGCTCGAACCCAGGCTGCCGCAGTGGGAAACCAATGACTAACCGCTTGAGCTATAATGCAGCCCTGCTTTCCATGTCAGTCCCAGTTACATCCACATGCTCATCGCTTACAGCAACACAAGGACGCAACGTAAGTGTGGAATATTTGCACAGTATCATTACGTAAAAAGTGGTTTAATGAACCAAGAAGAAGCTGTTAAAAGAAACATGAAGAAACTTTGATATCAGTGAAACATTCATGAAAGACAGGAGACAATGAAGTGTTCCTGATGACAAATTAGTCTGGATACGCAATTCAAAGTCCAGGAGCAGAAAACTTCTGGTGACTAAAAGAGACTTGTCTGCATACTTCACAATATGACATTATGTCTTGTATAAACTGTATAATTCTCCAAGCTTAATTTTTTTCTGACTTCTTAGCCACTTTTTATTTCTGAATTCTATTCCGAACAATTGGAGTACATACCCTACACAAATAAATACACTACTCTACATCTGACTTCTCAATCAAAGCAACTCAATATTTCATAAATATACGAGGGTCGTACTGAAAGTCATGAGCAACAATTTTTTCTAAAGTAACATGCTTTATTATTGACAAACCAAATACACCACCTCAATCTACAGACCTTTCTTTATTTTTCCACATAATCGCCACTTCTTTGTACACATTTCTCCCAGCGTCTGGGAGGATGAAAATTCCCCTTCTGTAAAATTCCGTTCCAGCCATCCGAAGACACTGACGCACTGCTTTCTGAATTGCCTCCCTTGTCTCAAAACGTTGTCCACGCAGCTGATCTTTCACAAATCCGAAAAGATGGTAGTCGGAGGGTGCCAGATCAGGGCTATAGGATGGGTGTGGGAAAACTTCCCACCCCATCTTTGCAATTGCTTCCAATGTGAGGCAAGCAGCGTGGGGGCGAGCGTTGTCATGCAGGATGATGATGTTTCGTCCCGGATGTTTATCGCACGATGCATGACGGAGCTTGTGCAGCGTCTGGACATAACAAGCAGCACTGATGGTTTGCCGAGGTTCCAGGAATTCGGCCAGAATAAACCCCTCTGCATCCCAGAAGACTGTGCCCATCACCTTTGCAGCTGATGGGACTGTCGTTGCGTTTTTTTTTGATGGAGAATGCAAATGGTGCCATTCCATACTCTGCCATTTCGTTTCAGGCTCAAAATGGTGAAACCAGCTTCCATCACCTGTCACAATAAGGAGGAAAAAATCATCGCCTTTGTGTCGATATCTCTGCAGCAGTTCTGAGGTGACGGCTTTTCGCTGACCTTTTTGGTCTTCAGTCAATAACCGTGGGACCCAACGAGCACAAACTTTCCAATAGCTCAAGCTTTCAATCATCTCCTGTATTGCACTGTGCCCTATTCCAAGTTTTCTGGCTACCGTGCCCACAGTCACACGCCTGTCATCTTGAATGATCTCATCCACTCTTTCCTTGTTGCGTTCAGTTGAGGCTGTTCAAGGTCGACCATTCCAAGGCTCATCTTCGATGCTGGTGTTCCCATCTTTAAAATGTTTCACCCATTTTTGAACACCGCTCGCACCCATGCACACTCTTCCATAAGCACGCTGAAGTCTCTGGTGAATTTCTGCAGCAGGGATTTCCTCTTTCACAAGAAATTTGATGACAGCACACTGGTGAAATGACATTCATTGTTGGCCATTTTGTTAGGAGTGATACTGGTCATGTGATGCAAGCTATTGACATCACAAGACACTCAAGGTTAACACAACAGCTGGCTCCACCTACCACTGTACTCTCTTTCGTCTGCTGTTCCCAGGTTGCATGCAAAAAATAGTTGCTCATGACTTTCGGTACGACCTACGTATTATGCCTGTAGAAACTAATGGGGTACATAATGAGTTAATGTGATGACAGGGACAAATGTCACTTGTTTCTGCAATTTCTGAATAAGGACATTCTGATCTGGGTATAAACTGCAACCCTATTTTCAGACTAGTGCAACATATATGCATGTAACTGCAGCATTACAATTTATTCTGTGCATCATAAATTATGACAAAAAACGAAGAATAGTGAAGTTGTCACTTAAGACGAAAATACTTTTTACTTCACATTTAAGTAACTTCATTTGTTTCTGTTATAATATTTAACCTTTGCAAAGGAAATAAAAACTAATTAGGTGTATTATACTTACATTCTCTTCCTGCGGCATCAAATCAAAGTCTGTTGGAATAAACTCATTCTTTGGAGGTAGTTTTAGATCATCACATAAGTTTGAACCCCTCCATTCCTACAGGCAAAAATTTGAAAAACATAACAGTGAAAACCTCACAGGTGTATGAAGGTGGAAAGTGAGAAGATATAGTCCACAATCACATATATATATAACTTCTGCAGACATTGCTATAAACATCCAACCAAACAATACTCTAGTTTTCTGATAATCATTACAGATTAACTCCATAACATAAATTAGTACCTCACAAAATTTTGAGAATTTCTTTTGATAAGTTTCATTGTGTCACATTTCAGTTCTATGTCTTTTGTTTGAAACACTTTTTATTTTGTGAAAACTCAAGTAAACAAATATTTATTTAGATCCTAGAAGTAACAAATCTGTCCTGAAAAACATAAAATAAAGAAAGACATTTTAATAAGGGTAAAAGTTAGAGTATAGTTGTCCCTGTCCGTAGTTCAGCAGCACAGGGGAATGGAGGTATACCTCCACACATTCTTAAATGTGGTACTAGATTGAAGGTGAACAAACTGCTTCATGCCCTGGTAACTTTACCCCTACAAAAAGGATGCTGGGTGCACAAATCTCATCTTGGCAGTGCAGGGAAGAAAAATCCTTTTCCCTGCTTAGAATCAAAACTCAATTCCTAAGTCATCCAGCCCAAGACCCAGTCACTATACTAACTACCCAAACAAAATTTGTGGACCGCCTATCCTGACTGAAGTATTCCGTCATTTTCCTAAGCTCCCAGAAGCAAATTCCAATTTGTGCCTACAATTAGACCATAATTACTTCCTTCTACACAGCATAGTTAAATAAACCACACATAAAAATCAAATGTAATAAGATTGCTTTTAAATTTTTACTACTTTCATGTAACATTACATCATAAATCATAAACAGAGAGAACAGTAACTACAACTCACATCTAGCACTGATTCCGCTATTTTCTCCAGCTTGTATTTTGTTCCATACCATTTCTCCACTTCACTCGCTATAGGTTCAAACTTCTGTCCAACGACTGCAACCCTAAAATATAAGCCAGATATTACTAATAACTCTGTTTGCACTTTCCTATCACCTTGAAATTCACCAGATGATGATGATCTCTTTGTAACAGTTTCATACCAGAATCTTACTTCATCATCCTTCACACACACGTACGAGGGGGGACCCAAAAATAACCGGAACCGACCTGTTGCGTGCGCATGCTTTGTAGTTACGAGTTGTGCTGCTAGGTGGTGTTAGCTGGGGGTCTCCCGCGACTGTTAGTGAGCTGGCGTCAGTCTGAGTTAAGTGGTTTGTCTGTGGTGCTCTGTTGTGTGCGTTCCTGTTTCAACCCTTTGGCGATTAGTGAGATGGCCGACCAGAAGGAACAAAGAGTGTTCGTGAAATTCTGGATCGTTCTGCACTTCACTCCTCAAGTTGCGGCAAACATTCACGTGGGTTTCTCTTTGGTCATCTCTGAGCAAGCGAGAAACAAATTTTGCAGACACCCGTCTCATGTGCAAACCTTCGGTTAAAATTCGCTGCACCATGCTCCATGAGATGTTCGTTTCCTCAGAAAGTTGGTCAATGGTCTTTCGACGATCTTCATCAATTGCACGTTTGATTTTGGCAATGTTTTCGTCATTTCTTCCTGTCGAAGGACGCCCGGGGGGTGGCATGTCTTCTGTTGACATGTTGCCAGATTTGAAACGGGAAAACCACTCGTAGACCTGCGATTTCCCCAAAGCATCATCATTAAAGGCTTGCCGAAGCATCCAGATCCAGAATTTCACGCACACTCTTTGTTCCTTCTGGTCGGCCATCTCACTAATCGCCAATGGGTTGAAACAGGAACGCACACAACAGAGCACCACAGACAAACCACTTAACTCAGACTGACGCCAGCTCACGAACAGTCGTGGGAGACCCCCAGCTAACACCACCTAGCAGCACAACTCATAACTACAAAGCATGCGCGCGCAACAGGTCAGTTCCGGTTATTTTTGGGTCCCCCTTCGTATGTTTTAAATTTGTACACATTAGTCATTATTCATTCACTTATTTCTAAGCTGACATTTTAGTATAAGGTTCTCAGAAGTTTGTAGTTGTGAGATTTCACTGCACATCATCCTCTCAAACATGCATTTTCATTTAGTTACCATTCATCCCAAGCAAGTGAAACTCATAATGCTCACATGCGCATTTCACCATCAAGAACACATTAAAACCAACGCATACCAGAGTGCAGAGACTCTTCAGCATTCACTCAGCATACCTGGCCATGCCCTTTATAAATGGAAACTAAAAATGTCAAGGTAATACAGATGCAAAACAGCCAATGAATATGGCTCATAAATCAATCATTCAGCAGAACAAATATCCATGAATGCAACCCATTAAAAGAGCTCGGTGAGTAAATATAACTTTTTTTCCACAAATTACTATATTTTCATGAGCATAAGGTGCACTGTCTATTCCGGAAAACGCTGCTTAAAATCTTAGTACATTTTTTATCCCATACTCCAAAGGTTTGATATACTCATAAGAATATTAACTCCCACCCCATAGCAGCTTGTTTCAGACAAGTTTATTACCAAGAACTGAAATGAGTCTCTCAGTATAGCTGTATAGCTATGTCATCAGAAGTGTGATGGGATTTCATGAGTGTTATTTACTTTTAACGAAATGGGTTCAAGGCAGAAGAGGTTTTCATACCTTATTTACATGTGATAAATAACACTAAAGAACTTGGAAACAGGGCAGCTGAATAATATTTTCACCTTCCAACTTAAAAATTCATACTTGTGTGGAAAACACAAGAAGAAGGATTAGACAATGCAGACAAGAACAAATATAGCTTTCATGGTCTTGGTGCAAAACGGCTGAAACTAGAGAAAGTGAAAAACTAGGAAATAGGCCACAGCAATAATGGTGCAGCTTACACAGAAGAAAACATAAGCTTCAAGCAAACATTAAGATCATAATTCTATTACAATTATTTAATAAAAAAAGGTAAAAGTAAACTTATCCCTGTGCCTAACTAACTAACTAAGCACTATGCCATGATGATGTATGGGGAAGTGCATGTATAGACCCACATTTTCTGGACTTTGGCACAAGTTGGAGGTGAGTGGTCAGCTTCACGTCCCAGCCGCTTTACCCCCGGGGAAAGAGCCCCCGGTACCCATAGAATAGGAGGCTGAGTGGGCCCCAGACCCAGTCTGAATGACATAGAGAAATGAAAATTCTTGGCCCAGCCAGGACTTGAACTGCAACCCCCTGGTCATCCAGCATATAGCCAGTAGCTATACCAGCTGCACTATCCTGGCTCTTACAATTATATAAAACAAGCATGCTATATAATCTGAGCTACTGACAGCATTACTAAATAAACAATGCACATAAGCGAAATATTTAAGTACAATTATTGTGTTTCCACCACCACATTACCTAATGTTTTCAGGAGTAAGATACCCTAGCACCATCTCTATAAGATCTGGTCTCCAGTCACTGATGAGGTAATAGCCTGACAGTACTTCTTCTAATGGATAATCCTGCATAAAAGACATAAATACACTCAACTCTCGATTATCCGGGATAATGGTGGGGATGGAAATCACGATTAATTGAAAACATGGTTAAGACAAATTTTATTAAAAGTAGTACTGTAATGTAAGATTTGAGGCTTTCACGGCGGTGACTATGAAGAAAGCAGTCTTCTGGGATTTGGCACCGTGTATATGTGGTGTTAATCCACGTTTCAGAGGAATGTATTGCCTCCATCTTCAGGGTAGAAGAAAAAATATAAGAAATCTGCAAGCGAGGAGACCGTGAGAACCAGTAAAAGCAGTCTGCTTTTACCAGTTCTCACGGTCTCTTCACTTGCAGATTTCTCATATTTTTTCTTCTACCCTGAAGATGGAGGCAATACATTCCTCTGAAACGTGGATTAACACCACATATACACGGTGCCAAATCCCAGAAGACTGCTTTCTTCATAGTACTGTAATTCTGTACCTTCATAATACTATAGGCCTACCTGTATTTAAATTTATTCAACCTCATTTTTATGTCATCTCATGGCCTATTTAATACTTTTTTTCATTACACTGAAGTATGAATTAGTTATTTCAATCACAGTGTTCAACAACATCCAACACTTTTTACGAATATTCACACTTAACACTTAAAAATTTTAACACTGTCGTTTGCTTTTTTTGCACCATTTTCCTTTTTATGGATATCCGTACGAAGCCTATGTAATATTAGCTTGTCACTTAATAAACTGTTCTCTTCACTCTCAAGATAGTCTAGTAAGAATTCCAAATGATTAAGAGCAGCAACATGTGATATTTTCTTACTAGCCAAGTCGGGTTGTATCGAGTGCATGGCAGTGACTACACCAGGTGAAGTAAGTGTAATACTGCTGATGGCAGTAGTTGAGAAGTTGTGAATTGTGTACGTGTAAGAGCAAGTGGAATAAATTTGCTTCATCGAAGACGGCGTGAAATTATTTGTCGCGCTTGACGCACCCAACACGTGACAACGTGAAGACTACTGAAGATAGTGTGAAGAGATTATTGTGTAGGGTTTGTAAAGTGTGTAAACCCATAACAGTGTCATAAATATTTGTAGTTATGTCTTGTAGGTTGTTAAATAAACCCATTAACAATCCGAAAGACGCCTTCAGTAGCCAAACGTTACAGTATTTATTATTTTGATATACTACAATGCATGTTTGATAGTTTTATGAAATGCTTTTTGTATAAAATATAAACTGGAAATTTTGACTTACATGAAGATTATGTACTGTGTCAGATACGTAACTTCTAGGAGATTCTTTGTCTTTGAACCGGAAATGCATCGCCCCAATGTCCTTGTACTCTTGAAAAATCCACTCCTTCGGTCCATCTCGTTTCAACATGTTCACGTACTGACAACAAACAAAACAATGAAGTACAATATAAGCATAACTCAGATATTGGTATGTTATATTAGAGGCCTCATTTCACATATTCACAATCTAAATCATAAAATCCAATACTGAAAAAGTATAAAATATTGAATTACGCTCTTCTGAATAAACATTTTTCATACACATGATGGCAGATGACAAGAGACAACAGCTGCCAGATCCACCTATGGGAAGAATTAGTACTACCCGCAACCAGCATTTGTGCACTCATAATCTCATCACTAGGTTACTGTTTTATTGTATGAAAGACTACAATGACTGAAGAACCTGAATTACTCTTCCATAGACACATTTAAATACCTGCACATCATATGCTCAAGTTGCCTATTAAATTTCCAAGGTGTAACATACTGCTACAGCATATATGCATAATTTTTGGCATTCTTTCATACAGAAAGAAGCTCACTGTATCATCATGTTTCTGTGCACATGAATGTCCAAACATGCATCCATGTTTTTTCCAAATGTTATGTGATGGCTAATAAACCTAAGTGATTATACTGTACTATACTTGAATTTCTTTATGTAATTTATATGACAGTTACGCTATTCTTGATGGGCTTGGTCTGTGAGCATACAGAAACCCATCATTTTTTCAATAATTTAAAGTCACTGAATTTAAAACAAAATGAAACTGTAATCCTGCTATGTGTAGATTTCTCACTAGATGTAACACATTCTGCTTCTGCTGCTACTGATATGACAAATAAAAACAACATAACTAACCAGCAAACTGCCTGATATTTTTCTCTCATTGTTTGTGGGCAGTTTCTGTTTCTACCTCTCTTTCTAACTTTTTGCAGTGTTATCTTACCAGATCATACTGTATATAATTTGATGAAAACATGAATAAACAAATCAATGCACCTGAAATACGAGTTTGACGATATCATTCACATGTTCAATCCCTTCTTCTGTGAGGTCAACATTGATACCAAAAAAGGCAAATCCTCGCGAGCCTGTACGAGCACCGCCCACAAGCCTGTTGCACCAACCCTTTGTTCTCAGCACAGACAGCAAACTTCCAGGGCCCTCATGACCAAAGAGGTGGCCCAGGTAGTGGGCTGGCTGGAAGAATAAGGATTACTTGAGAGCATATGGATATAAGGAACACATTTCAAAAGCCTTGGTTTAATCTGCCTACAATCTACAAAGAGCTCAGTCTTCTGGGACATGACAATGTACAGCCTAACAGATTTTTACCAACATTTCACAGGAAGGTACTGTTTTATTTCAGGGTCAAAGAGTACATAAACATGCCATTAAATCAAAGAAGACAAAAAATTTCAAAACACACTTTGTTGCAAATTACTGTCTTCTTGAATGTAATGCCTTTAGTTTGATAGACAGGTATCCACATTTTGAAGGAATCTGCTGCCTCCCTCTTCAGGGTAAAAGACAGAGGATGATGCAAGCTCCAAAACTCTGGTCCTATCCACCAAATTACATGTGCACTGTTACATTAAACAATCACTGTTAGTCATTATGTAGAACTGAGATTCTCACAGAAGTCATTACAAAGATTTTCATCTTCTGGGATATGATGCAGTGCGGTCCAGTAAAGGTCAACCCAAGATTCAGAGGAACATGTCACTTCTGTCTTCAGGGTTGAATAGCAAGCCAAGCAAGAAAATTTCAATGGATGACACAGCATTATACGTCAGAAGATATAAATCTTCAGTCTTGATCAAGGGAATCTCAAAACTCACAAATTTTGTTATGTTTGTCAATTAACATGAACAAGCCATGGCTTAATATAGGCCACAAATGCATTCAATCTCATCACTTCGAAATCATCACTGAAAATTAATCTTTACATTTCACTTGATATTATACAATCACCATATAGTATAAAGCATAAAGAGAGGCAAACAATTAACTAAATGTTACTAAAGATTTACTTACTCAAATAGTTGAATCTTCATCGAAACAACATTAATACAGGTCGATCATGAAGGGTTCTGATAATGGTGTATAATTCGCTTAGTGGAGGGTGGAGGCCAACTGGGTCCACTCGGCACAGCGACCACTGATTGGCCTATTGTAGCCTGCCCCATGTGATTATGATCATGGAGAATTTGGTGACATGAGGATTGGCAGGGGAAACCGAAGTACTGGGAGAAAACCCACCACAGTGCCACTGTGTCCACCACAAATCCCACTTTACCAGACCCGGGTTGGACTGGGGTTACTGAGTTTCTGGACTTTGTCCACTGTTTGGTAATTGAAAGAATATAATCTTTTGGAAACTGGATCTGTTTCCATCCCCACACCTTTTCAAATTGGATGAAAACAGATTCAGTTTCCAGAAGGTTGTTTTCTTTAAGATACCATAATGGATGAAGCCCAACATCTCAGTAATCCCGAATATCCCTACAGACTTACCCCTGCTTTATAATATTCCTGCAGATCTGGTATAGGGAATGTGATGTTAAGATTTCTGAGGTCCTTTACTGGAACAATGTAGCCTTTCATCTGAAGCTGCTCAGGACCAAATGGATGCTCAGTCCATGTAGGGGCTGTGACATTCTTGTTCTTCACATCCGAAAACAGCGTGACAGCCATCGTCTCCAATTCATCCAAGCTTTCTGGTAATTTTCAGCACACGTTCTTGTTTACCATTATTGATATTATTGCCATGGTGAATTCTTTAAGCATTATTTTTAAAGACAAAATAAAATGAACTGGTACAAGTACGAAAACATTATATTCAAGGGAAATATCTGGTAAAGAATTGGTGCAATTACTACCACAGTTCCAGATAAACTGCCATATTACAAATCTGTAACTAATGATATTTTGCTACACAACTATCATTTGGCACCTACTTATTCAGCTAGGTCGTGATACAGATAAAAACAGTTGGGTAAGATATTATAATGTATTTTAAACCCCTGTAAAATTTAAAAAAGAAATGTTAATGTTATCATTATTATTGTTTCATACTATATATGACACCAAATAGTTGAATGGATAGATGCTAAGGCAACAATCTTGGAGCTGCACTTTAGGTTCAGCTCCTTCATGCTCAAANCAGGTGTCTTGATATGTTACAGTTATTTTATTTTATTAAATTGTGTTAAAACTGCTACACTGTGTTAGTTCGTGTTAAAATCACACGCTGTAGTCCTCTTTTTAAGGTAAAACCAGATAAAATCCTTTAAAGTTTCTATTATACCCACGTTATTTTGGTGGATATTATTTCACCTCACACAGAGTGTCATTCATTTTCATAAATGTATGTCTGTCCAGGGTATTTTGTCTCGGCAGTTTGCCCCTCACGTTCGTAGCCTACTTTTCAGTTATGACTGCCATATGCCCCTGGTTTGCGTGTTTCCTCCACAGCGTGTGGTGTTGTCTTTACTACTATGCTACAAACGTGAGGGGCAAGCTGCTGAGACAAAACACCCTGGACAGACATACATTTATGAAAATGAATGACACTCCGTGTGAGGTGAAATAATATGCACCAAAATAGCATGGGTATAATAGAAACTTTAAAGGATTTTATCTGGTTTTACCTTAAAAAGAGGACTACAGCGTGTGATTTTAACACGAACTAACACAGTGTAGCAGTTTTAACACAATTTAATAAAATAAAATAACTGTAACATATCAAGACACCTGAAGATGGTCGTTTGTGGCCGAAACATGTAGTGTCAAGGTGTATAATGTTAAACCAGAAATTGAGTGGTGAATGGAAGAGTGTTGCGATATTGACAGATGATAAATAATGGACGTTAAGTTGAACAATTGCAACGGGATGCTGAAATACAGAATCATGGTATACCATATCTTCGAGTCACTGTGCCATTCTTGTTCTGCCTCCATAGGTTCAACTTAAAAGGTATTATTTCCAAAACTATGCCTTACAAGATTCTCCTGAAATTATTGTTCTCCATATGTAAATATTCTCATTACAAATTCCCATGGCCTTTCTTCCTAAAAACATGTCTGCCAATACTCTTAACACTAAGTTTTAGCTTCAAGGTTGGCAAATACAGCAGACCAGAACATGTACAACTTTTTACTTTTGATCAGTTTGCTGGTATATGTACCTGAAGGAAAAAAACCATCCCTATTATGTTCTTACTACATAAAATATTAACATGTCATGTATTTCTCAACCATGGTGTACATATTTCTGTCATAAATTTGCTTGTGCCTTTTGTATGAAAAGTATAGTGTTCTTTGTTACCTTAACTGTATCCTGTTCCCTAACTATGTTTCACCACAAATTATGCCATTAGTTATTACATAATATTACCACATAAGTTCTCAGTAGTGAAAACAGAAAGTATACCTTTCCCTAAAACTGCCAGTGCCATGATGTTGGACGAGTACCACGTATCATGAAATTTTAACAGTTCTTCACGCACATTAATTCCCTTTTCCTTCGGTATAATATCTAGAGTCTGTTTATTTCCTGTGAACAAACACGAAAGTAATATACAGTACACTCTGGATACCTTCAATCTCGATCCAGTGAGATGTGGTACAGCTATTTCCTGCCTCGTCCACACAGTCACAGATCAGGCTAGAAGAAGGAAGACAGGGGCATCTGAACAGTGCAGCTTTATTGGAGTAACATTCACTCCACTAACAGGCAACATAAACAGAAACTGTTTTACTGCAAAGGAAAACAAGGTAAAGCTGTCACTGTACTTAATTAATTAAGCACTATACCATGAAGATGTATGGGGGAGTGATGGTACAGCTCCACATATTTTCAACCTAGGTACTAGACAGGCCCTTTCCACTTTACCCTGGGGAAGGAGTCCCCTGTACCCATTAGTAGGAGGCTGGGTGGGTCCCAGAGCAGAGCTGGGTGCTGTGGAGAAAAGAAAATGTCTTGCCCCTGTCAGGAATCAAGCCATGATTCCTCAGCCATCCAGCACATAACCTGTCACAATGCTGAATATGCTCTATAAAAATCCAAAAGAACTGAATCTAAACCCAAATGTAATCACAAAGGTAACAAATCACTGTTTCAAACCAACTCTATACATCATTTATGTAAAAGCTGTCCCTGTGCTTAAGTAACTAGGCACATTATGAAGTGAAGGCGTAACTCCATACATTCTTAACCTCCGCAACAGTTGGAGGTGAGTGGTCAGCTTCACACCCCATCCACTTTTCACGCAGGGATAAAGCCCCCCCCCCCAGTACCCTTGAGACAACAGGCTAGGTGGGCCCTGGAGCCAGCCTGGATGATGTAGAAAAGACAAAACTTTTGCCCCTGCTAGGAATTGAATCCTAATTTCTTGGCTGTCCAGCCCATAGCACATTGCCAGACTGTACAAAAAGAAATGACCATCATTCTAACAACAAAATGAACTGTCCAGAGGACATCATGAATTAGAAAATCTAAGCTTCATAAGTTTTGAGGTTTTCATGGCAGTGAGTGCTGTGAAACTGTGTAGTCTTGAACAAGGCTCCCAACATTTCAGAGCACACAATATGTCCATTTTCAGGGTCAAAGAGATCAGGGTAAGGATGCAGCCAGGTTACACAGGCAGGATGACATGGAACTGATTACTCAAAACTGTAGAAGGGGGGGGGGAGAACAGCTCTGTTCACATCAACAGGAATGATTATATACAGTTATAAGAAGTTGTATTTTAACAGTTCTGCCAATACATTGGTATTCATCTACAAGACTAGACAATGTCACAGAACACCACAGTCCAATCCTAACGTTATTGGAATATCTGAACAGCTCAGTTGCAATGCTTCACATGAGAAAATAATACTGTCACATAAAAAACATTATCATTAATTTACCAGAGCAAACACAAGCTAATCTGAAGAAACACATACTGCAGAGATTACAAGTCCCTTGATCAGAAAGTTAGGTCTTCATAAATATGACAATTTTCTTTACCTGTCCCAAACTTATTAAATGCATGATCTTTCTTTGCAGTGGATTTCTCTAGCCGATCAAGCCACCAGGAATCATTGGAAATATTCTTCTCATGTTCTGAGTTGACAGCATTCATTTCTCGTTCTGTTGCACTTTCCGTGAAAAGAGGGCATAAGAAGAACTGTGCAAACCTGTACAAAAGGGAATTAATGAGTCAGTATAACAGACAAGGTTCATCAAGACACATAAACTGGTGACTGGTAATTCTACAGAAGAAAAAGTGGCTAATTTTAGTTGCTTCTTAGTTCATTTACAAGTAACAAATTGCTGGTTATGAAGTGTAGACTGAAAAGAGGCGTGATAGCCATAAATGCTGAGAAGGTTGAGTAGCCACCATTAGTTTTGACAGTAACCCTGTATTTAATTACTGAACATGAATAACAGATGCAATGCAATGCAATGATACATGAAATATACATATTCAATAATCTAAATCAAACCTACCTTTAGAACCCCAGTAATCAAAAACTTGGTTTTCGAGCAAAAAATGTGTGGTAATACTGATCAAACACAGGAGCCTGGTTAGCGCAGTCAGTATAGCAAATGGCTACAGGTTTGACAGATGAGGGTCGGGGTTCAACTTCTGGAAGGGGCATGATTTCTCTTGTCTACACGTCATCCAGACCAGTTCTGAGGCCCACCCAGCCTCCTATCCAATAGGTACCAGGGGCTCTTCCTCCAGGGGTAAAGCAGTCTGGAATGAAGGTGACCACTCACCTCCAACTAATGCCAAAGTCAAGAATATGTGGATCTATACATCCACTACCAGATACATCTTCATGGTGTAGTACTTAATTATTTATGCACAGCAATAACTTTATCTTTTTACCTCATTTCACTGAGTTTACAGAAAAAATATGGTTCACTCACCTGTCTATTGCTCCCCCCAGATGTTCTGGCATAACATCAAAATAATAGTTAGTGTGATCTGAATATGTACAGGCATTGGAACTTCCGCCATGTTCGGACAAGAACTTGCTGTACTCATTCTCCAAAGGATACTTCTCTGTCCCCAGAACAGCATATGTTCACAGAAATGTGCCAGACCAGGCAAGTCAGATGGATCACTCATGTGACCTACACACAGTAAAATTCATGATAAACAAGGCACCTTTTCATTTAATTGGTCTGTTCTAAACAGCATCAAGCAGATATAAAAGTTTTCCTCTTTGCTATATGGCTTATACAGCAAGTACCAAGATTTCTCATAATTGAGAATAAATTTCTCATTAACAGAGTTGCTATTCCCACAATCATTAATACTGCATACTAATAATCAGACAGCATCACAACTTACCAACATTTACATCCAGAGATGCTGCAGACTTATCCGTACTGCTGTCACTAATAAGCAGCACTTTCATGTCATTTTGCAGTTCCAGACAACGATATAACCGCTTATCTTCAGCCGACTTGATGATTTCACTTACATGACGTTTGACACCCTTCATAGTTATGCCAGTAGTGTACAGCCTCACAGGAAATCTGTTTTGGAATAGCAGACAATTTCTTATCACCTCCAATATGCTCTAATTACTTAATATCAGCCAGTCCGTGCATAAGTACTCTGATCTTAACAGGGCAATTAAAATTTTTTTTGATAAACACTATATTCTACCTCTAATTATTACTATACAAAGAGAATATGATCTCTGCTTTCTTGCAAATAAAAGAACAAACTTTAATTTCACGGTATGTACATTGTCTTTCTTGAGTAATGAATGATCAAGATATTTCCTGTGGTAGACTTGAAAGGATTCTGATGATGGTGTATACTGTACATCTTTTGGCTTATTTTGGACTTCACCCATCGTCTGGTATGTAAAAGACAAAAAACCACGACGTTTCGGAGACTGGGTCTGTCTCCGTCTTCAGGTGGATAGGGAAGGATAAACCTACTTGGTTGGGCCCCTTAGAAAGAGCTAGTCTCAATCCAGTGATTGAGCTCTTTCTAAGGGGCCCAACTGAGTAGGTTTATCCTTCCCTATCCACCTGAAGATGGAGACTGACCCAGTCTCTGAAACGTCATGGGTTTTTGTCTTTTACATACCAGACGATGGGTGAAATCCAAAATAAGCCAAAAGAAGTACAAATTTCCTGTGGTTTACAAACCTAAAGCTTTATGACCTACACCACCAAAGTCTGACAGTGAAACCTATTCTGAGTTAGCTAAAACTAGTTCAGTTTCACAACCTAGTCCTTTAAGATCAATTTTAGTGAGATCCTTTTATCTATGACTACATCTATCATACAGTCTCTTCCTTCCATGATTCCAAACCAAAATTTTGTAAGGAATTTTTGTGTCATATGTATGCCACATTACCTAACCATTTCTAATTCTGGCTTTAATCACTTTAATCATTTCATGTGAATATTACAAATTAAGAAGCTTTCTGTTATGTAATCTTCTGCAGTCCCATGTTATTTTGTCTCCTATCAGTAAACATATTCTCCCCACTAATATATACTCTTTAGTGCCCTCAACTGGTCTTTTTTTCCTCAGAGTGAGAAGCCAAATTTCGTAACCAAATAAGACAACAAATTAATTTATTCATTCATGCATTCATTCATGTTATCTGGCATTCATAATTGTCGCAACATTAACACTTGAACAAGTCACTTCATTAAATACATCATCCTTGAAATCCTTCTGCACAAATGCCTAAAGGAATAGAATTTGTCAACAATATATAATGATGCTTAACATGGTTGACCTATAACACAGGTCTGCAACCAAAAACCTGCACAGGATATTTTTACTGTTTCTTATAGATCTTTACTCACTAAAACCGGAAATAATGGTAAAAAAAATCCTTCATGTATTTTTTTTTTGCAAAACTCATATTTTTAGTTTAATTTTGCATGAAATTTCTCTTCAACGTGAAATCTGGTATCCTATTGTTGATTCTATAAACCATATCCAATAATTATTTCTTACTTTAAAATAATATTTATAAGAGTGAATCTAAAAAATAATACAAATAGAAAATGGGTGGGATGGGGGGGGGCAGTGCAAGGGGTTGGTAGGGTGGGTTTGGCGGTGTGAGGGGCTCAGGCAATCATGTCCCAACATGTTTACTTTGTTTGTAGTGAAAGGTGAGGAATCTTACTAGCTCGGTTGAACATATTTGTGGTGAATACATAGTTAAAAGTCAACAAAGAAATATAAGTTATTTTGTGAAGAAAGAGTATTTTGCTTATTTCAAATTGAAACTTGGGGATCAAGACAAACCTTGGGCTCCTCACAATGTGTGCAGAAGGTGCGAGGAAGATCTTCGTTTGTGGTTTAAGGGTAAGAAAAACTCATTTCGTTTTGGCATTCCTATGATGTGGCATGAACAGCAAAACCACACAAGTGATTGTTATTTCTGTTCGGTAGATGTGAAAGGCTTTCATACAAAAAATAAAAAGAAAATATCTTACCCAAACCTTAATTCAGCTATTCGTCCAGTGCCTCATAGCTCTGAAATACCAGTTCCCCTCCCACCTTCCAGTTTGGATGATATACAGAGTGATTCGGAGGACAGAACTTATATTACCACCCCAGGATGAATCCAGCTCAGATTTTTCTGTTAATGAGGGACCCAAACCTTTTTCTCAGAGTTAGTTCAATGACTTAGTTAGAGATTTAGGCCTTTCCAAAGATGCAGCCGAATTGCTAGGGTTAAGACTAAAAAATAAAAACTTGCTGTATGATCAAGCGGGAAACGGAAAGCGAAAGTGTGTTCGGAGGAGCATCAAAGAGAAGAAGAAAAAGTTTCACAGGCAAAAAGACTGAACACAGAATGTTAAATATATCATGAAAGAATTGTTTGTTTAATTATGAGAAATAATATGTTTAGTTCAATGTAATAAAATTAGTGATTTTTTTCATTGCTGTTATGATTTTTTATTGCAAACACCTATTATGTTCCAAAAAACTGTACATGATAGGGGGAAATTGAGGTCATTTCTGGAGTCTGCATCCTAGAAAACATAAAGTTTACCAAAAATATTCCATGCAGCTGAAAAAAGTTATTTTTGCAGACCTGTGTAATCAGAATATAACACACACTATCAAACCAGATAAATAAAAATTGTACATTTTGATATTCTAGTTTTCAACTTTTTGGAAAGCTGTTTGGGGACGAACAACCTTTAGAAGGGAGCAATGTCATATGTTTGGAATCCAGAAGGGTTACTTCCATGGAAACGCTAGAACAGACCACTGCATGGGAAGTAACAATAGGGGTATAACAGTGAGCCATTGCGTAGAGAACACCGAAGATGAGTCTCCACGGTTATAACGAGGGTTCATTGCATAGCAGTGACTGAGGTTATAAAAAGGGTTGAAGGTATTTGCCAAGTCAGTTGGAACCTAGATACCATACGATATAGAAGAAGACAGCAAGAAGACACTCTCCAGAAGGCCGCCGCCGAAAGCAGTCTAGTATTGGCTGAGATACATAGCACGTCCACAGAGTAAGTTTCCCACTCATCCCACATCTAGCAAACCTTATATTGTGGGAAGCGACTGCGCGTACGTGATAGAGCAATGACGTAGCATGGCGCATGCACAAACGGAATTTCCCGCGTTCCCACAGTAGCATTGTTGCAGCTGTTGTAGATGGGGGCTCTTATTCCAACTCCCGCCGACTGCGGAGTGCAGTCAGTGAAAAAGATTTTCAATGCACAGAGCATGGCACCGATCGAAATTAATCGTCAGCTGTGCCGGGTCTATGGGCCTAACGTCGTGAGCAAGCAGATGGTGCGTCACTGGTGCAGACAATTTTCAGCAGGTCGACAAAGTGTGCATGATGAGAAGCACAGTGGGCAGCCATCCATCATTACAGACGACCTGGTGGAGCTGGTGCGGGAATGCATTATGGAGAATCATCGTGTCACAACTGCGGAACTCAGCAGTCATGTCCTGCAGATTTCCCGCTCCTTGTTGCACGAAATTGTCACGGAGCACCTGTTGTTGAGGAAATTGTGTGCCAGGTGGGTGCCGAAGCAACTGACACCAGAACACAAAACAAAGCGCATGGAGTAGGCATTGACCTTTCTGCAGCAGTACCATGATGGTGACGAGTTTCTGGACTGGATCATCACAGGTGATGAAACGTGGATTGCACACATTACCCCAGAAACCAAGCAGCAGTCAATGCATTGGCATCACAGTGGATCTCCCTGTAAGACGAAATTCAAGCAGACGTCGGCGCAGAAAGTGATGTGCACGGTATTCTGGGACAGACGGGGCATTCTCCACGTCGACTTCCTGACAAGAGGTGAGACGGTGAATGCTGAGCATTACTGTGAAACACTGCAGAAATTGCGACAGGCCATTCAGAACAAGCGGCGTGGGATGCTTAGTGCCAGTATTGTCTTCCTGCATGATAACGCTAGGCTGCACATGGCTCGACGGACAGCAAGTCTCCTGCAGGAGTTCAGCTGGGAGGTGTTTAATCATCCACCCTACAGCCCGGACCTCGCTCCCAGTGATTTCCATCTTTTCCTACACCTCAAGAAATTCCTGTCGGGTGAGCGTCAGCATTTTGAGAATGACAGAGAGGTGGAGATGGTTGTCACACAGTGGTTCCAATCCCAGGCGGTGGACTTCTATGACACAGGTATTCAAAAGTTGGTCCCACGGTATGACAAATGCCTCAATTCTGGTGACGATTATGTTGAAAAATAGCCGAACACTTGCTGTATCTGTTGCGATAAATATTTCCGTGAAATTGTGTTTTGTTTCTGTAAACGGCCCCAGGGAAACTTACTTTGTGGACGAGCCTTGTATAGTGGAAGCAGTAATTGTGATACTGCAAGTGATAATAATTGTAAAGCACTGAGTGTAGAAGTGAAGCACAATAAATATTCACTAAATCCGAGACCCACCTGAAGTTATTTGTCGCGTGACATACCCAACATGTGACAATATTATAAATTGACTGGCACTGACATAATGGATCCTGAAATAATTCTCCTCAAAAGCGCTTCATAACTTTAATTGTGTTTGCTGCAACAATTAACATTAGCCACATTAGCCAACCTAAATTTTCAAAGAAATAAATAATTTTGTTCCATATTCTGGTTGGAATATATTAATATAGTCTTGGTTTATATCATATTTATTTCTAGACAACATTCTTAATAGTTCTTAAGAGAGCTTGCCAATTTCTCTCACTTCTAATTCTGTTCCTTCTTAATATCCTGACACCAATAACACTAAGTAGCTGTGTTCATTCACCTCCAGAACGTACTTATTCTCTAAGAAGTTTCCAATGGATACCTGATAGAAAAATTAAGAAGCTAAGAGAATAAACTATAATAGCACTTCAGGTAAAATTTTACCCTAACTTTCACTCTAAGTAATATCAATCAATGTTTGAGTATTCCTAATTAATTTACAATAACTAACAACAGTTTCCTTGGAACTACATGCTCCATACCTCACTTTGCTTTTGCATCCTAACTCCTTTTGTTGCTTATGTCTGATTCTTATT